TTATTGTACGTACTTTCAATCGATGCATGCCTATCTAAAATTAAACATAGGTCTGGTTGAGGAGCAATATACCTTCACAAGTTCTGTAGAAAGAATCCATAACCATCAGTCGCCTCACCTTCAACAATGGGAAAAGCAACTGGGAAAATGATTATTGCAATCATATGCTACCACCATAAGTAGCGTCCCCTCGTACTTACCATACAACCAGGTTCCATCTATTTGAATTATAGGCTTGAAATATGCAAAGCCTATGATGCATGGTTGAAATACCCATAATAGCCAATGGAATATTTGTTTCCCTTCAACAATGGAGTCGTTATCTGTATATTGGGGTAGTGTTTCTATTCCTATCACTATACCGGGAACAAATTTCTTTAGTTCTAATAAGTAATGTAGAAGTTCATTATTTGAATTCGCTCAATTACCGTATACCTATTCAATTGTTTTATTCCTTGCAATCCATGTTTTCTATATGACGAAGTGAATTTGTATTCACAAACAATTTGATTGATACAAATGCTCGTCTTGGTTGAAGGATCTTTGCCTAAAAGAGGCATTAAACATTGGTACATCAGGTGAGAGTTGAGTTTTCGATGATCCTGCTTAAGAATAGTTATTGTACAATTATGTGGGGGAGGGGGGTTTATAATGCATATCTTCCATAATTCACTTATTTTACTATAAGGCGCCAATAGATGAAACTTGCATATAGAGTTTTTACAACATATTCGATATCTCTTCTTATCAAAAATATACATCGTATAATCTACACAATATCTCATGTGATATTTCTTTATGGAAAGCACACAATCGACTTTATTTTTAAATTAGTTACCCACTACTAAGTCACCATCCACCTGGAGGCGGGGAGTGCGTGGCCATTCAAAGGATGGTGGGCCTGGACTTAAACACAAGTTTAGCATGTGGGGAGGTGGGAAGAGTACATTCCTACTGGAAAGTGTTTTTCATCTTCCTCAATTGCTTCTTCAACATGGTCACCTTATTCGAATATAAAAGTATAATAATGATCGGCTTGTGCCTCATTTTCTTCATCATCATCTTCTTCAACATCTTCGTTGGAAATTATAGTTGACAATTCTTTTTTTGGTGCGTTGATTATCTGTGAAATTTGAGATTGTTGACATTGTTCAAGTTGTATGTATAAATTAATTTAATCAAGCCCAAAAAATTCATGATTAACAAACATCCTTTCAACATCTTTGTTGTCTCAAACCTTCAATGGAAAAAATTTCTGAAGATGTGAAAAACACAAGAAGGGGGGTTGAATTGTAAAACTTAAAACAAAAGCTTAAACAACACTGTATTTTTATCCTGGTTCGTTTGATCTCAAACTACTCCAGTCCACCCGTCAAGGTGATTTCGCCTCTCTCCAACGAGGTCTTAATCCACTATAATCAAAGGTTTACACAGTCACTTTAACAACTGTTAAAGCCTTCTTGAGTATAACCACAAACCGGTTTATCTCAAGGAAATCTCTTTACAAATAATTGAACAATAATGTGTTTGATGTTTTCTATTAAAACAGTATACCACAACTGTGATAATACACAAATTTAAGCTTAGAATGAAACTGGATTGCTAATGCGTTTGAATGAGCGTGGTTTTGAGGCTTAGCAAATTGTATGAGTGTGTGCGTGTTTATTAGCCTTTTCTTTTCTCACACAGACTTGTTTATATAGCCAAGGAAAAGATACGTTGTTGTCCATAAATCACTTTCAATGATAATAACGTTCTTTCCTTTTTGAGAAGATCTTGTCTTGAAGAGAGCCATTAGCAATTAATCTGTCTTGAATACTTAGTAACGCTTCAGAGTCTTCTTTATGATAATCAGAGTGTTCTTTGCTTTAACTGATGCTGACGCTTCTGAGTGCTGATGACTTGGTAAGGATCTTGATCAGAGTCAAAGTGTTTTATGCGCAGATTCTGTTCATCAAGCTTCAGCGTATGATCTGGTAGCTTCAGCGTGTAGCACATGTTATCTTTTGATGCTGATGTATTACTTATCTTCTGATGCAGATTCCATCAGAATTTCTGTAAATACAAAACATAATTTTAAGAGCATATTTGTTCTATATATATATATATATATATATATATATATATATATATATATATATATATATATATATATATATATATATATATATATATATATATATATATATATATCTTTGAATTTATTTATTCTTGTATTTTGTTATCATCAAAACTCTAATTAAGGATTGTAGAATCAAACTATGTTCTAACAATTTCATAAGGTTGTTATTAAAAAGAATAGCATTTCGATGAAAAATTTGTGAAATAGATCCAAATTAAAGCTTTATTTGTATTCTATCTTTCAAGTGTTCGAAGTTGGACCTTCTACTAATTGTGAAACGAGAAATTTTGGTATTTTTGAATATCAGGCTCATAGAATCAGATGTATGAATCTCTCCTTTGTGATGACTATTCACTACATATTGTTGAGGGTGAGACATAATATATCAACGTGAACAAGTATTTTTTGAATGGTAATGAAGCAAGTGTTGTGGAAGAAATGCACACAAATGTAATGAAAATGTTTTGTGTTGCTGGAAAAAATTGAAGCAAGGGTTACATTAAAAAGGGTACATTTTTTTTGTCTTTTATCACAATATTTTATTCCTATTTTGCATGCTGATTCCTAGTCAAATGGTCAAAAAAAATTTATTGTACACTTCCACCAATTGCAGGTATGAAAGTCAGGCCATTACACACTCTGCCAATTGCAGGTGCGGATGGCATACATGTGTCACGTAGACTGAAGAATAGGTCAGCTATTTGCTTTTGCGGATGTCAGTAAAAAAAACAACGCTTCCACCAATTATAGGTGCGGAAGTCAGTCAAAAGCAACGCTTCCGCCCAATGGGGGTTCAGACTTAAATCAACTTTGCATGCAAATATTCTACATATGCAAAGCATGCAAGACATTTAACTCTTCATCAATATCCCATTAATACTTCTACCAACACAAAAATTTCTTCCTCTCAAATCTCGTATAAATACCTTCCTCTACCAAACCAAAATCACACACAATTTTTTTTACTACTCTTATTATATAGAATTCTCTTTGTTATTTGCAAAGTTGTTAAGAGTATGTCTCTGTTAACTTATGGAGAAAACCATTGAGGGACCCCATCAAATATTAACGCATATGTAAGTGTTTGATTACTGATAATTATTATTTTTAATTTAGTTGGTGTAACAAAACTGTTATTATATATGTTGATCACAAGTTCACTTTTTTTTTAGGATGAAAGAAAAAAACTATTGTTGCAAAACTATTATTATATATCGTCTAAATATTGTCTTATAGAGTGATATCATGCCAAAAGAATGTAAATCGAGTAGGGATTACATGGATTGGTATGAATTTGTGTCAAATTTGTACCTGTCACATAATAGATTCTTATTTGACCCTCATAACCAACCAACATCTTCAAACTTCCAATACACTAGACCATCAACAAACACTTACACCCAACAATATAACTTTAACACCAAATAACCTTTCATTCCAACACAACCACCTTATACCCCAAGCCAACAATATCATCAACACAACCCATCATTTAATCCAATCCCACCCAACAACAATACCTAAACTTTACCCCCTCAATATCACACACCAACAATAAACACCACTCACCATCCACCATAACCAACATGCATTCACATAAACTACCCCACAAGAACACAACTATCAAACATCCCAACCACAAATCTCTTTTAACCACTCACAAACATTTACCTCGAATTTATCCCAAGACCAACAATTCTAATTCCCCTACATGCATAGCTCAATGTTAACTACTACCCAACCAAACTAAAATTACGAGGGAACCACATTAAATTATGATAGTGTAGTGGAGATTGACTTAACTGATGACATGGTCGCTGATTTCATGAATCATAGAATTGACATGGGGCCTTCAACTCAGCTTGCAAATGTTAATAACAATCTTAAAAGGTCTACGCAATTTGGAGAAGGTCGTCCATGTGCACTGGATACCGCTTACCACAAACGGGTCAAAATCAACGCTAAATGAGATTTATTGTAATTTTGTTTTAATTAATAAATAAATATTACTTTGATTAATATTATATTTTATTTGTATTATTATTATTATTATTTTATTTATTAATTTAATATACCTTAATTATTTTAATTATAAAAATATTTTTATATTTTATTATCTAGACAAATAAATTAATTATAAACAATTATAATAAATTTGATTAATTAAAATCTCTATATTATTTTAATTATAATTATAATTAAAAAAATTTATAATTAAAAAAAATTAAAATACATTTACACGCTTCTGCCATACGGATCTTTTAAAATTTAACAAGATTTCACCAAAGCCATACGGATCTTTTAAATTTTAATAAGATTTCACCAGAGCAATGAGCATAATCCTATTATTTTGTACACTTCTGCCAAAGCAATAGGCAGAAGCTCTATACCAGTAACATAAATTTTTTTTTTAAAACAATGATATACTTATATATAACATGAAATGTGTTATAGTTTGGTATTTTTTACGTAAAAAAAATGAAAAAATGGAAAGACAGTAAAAATTTAATTTGTTGTTGCTTCACTTGGTTGATTTGTTGCTGTGCTTTTGCCTAGTTTTTTCCTCCATTTGTTAGATTACTTTGGTTCTACTTATATTGCAAGTACACTATGTGTTCCTTATTCAGTTAGACTAGGAGTTTAACACAACGTGGTTTATTTGATAACTATATAAAGTTATTTTATATGATTAGTGTATTTTTATTTCCTCTTAAAATTCTAGTCATTTTACATTATTTATCACAATTAACTCCCAACCAAACCAACCACATTATCCTTAACGCCTCGTCCACAACCACAAACCAAACCACAGCAAGAACAAGAAACAAACTCCGAAGACAGAAAAGATAGAGAACGATAACTTCTTCTACGGATAATAATGCTCTTTCGTGGCAACATCTCTCCTCTCTCACCCTCTCTACGATTCAACCTCAAAACACGAACTCCACGTCGAAACCTCACCGTCTCATCCCGAACAAGCTTAGACTACCCGCTCTCCATATCCGACGAGGCACTCGAGTCACGAGGCTTCATTCTCCGGCGAACCGCGGAGGGGCTAAACCTGGAAGGGCTGAACAAAGTATTCGTAGCGGTGGGGTTTCCTAGACGTGACCCGGAGAAGATACGAGTGGCGCTTGAGCATACAGACTCGATGGTGTGGGTGGAGCAGAGAAAGTCGCAGAAAGCGGTTGCGTTTGCGAGAGCTACTGGGGATGGTGTTTTCAATGCGATTATTTGGGATGTTGTTGTTGATCCTTCGTTTCAAGGGATTGGGCTTGGGAAAGCTGTTGTGGAGAGGCTCATTGAGGATCTTGTGGGGAGAGGAATTTCGAATATTGCTTTGTATTCTGAGCCTCGTGTTCTTGGCTTTTATCGCCCTTTGGGGTTTGTTTCTGATCCCGATGGGATTAGAGGAATGGTTTACTCTAGAAAACAAAAGACTAAATAATTGGAATTTTCTTTGTATTATGATCATGGATTTTTCTAAATGATTGATTAAATATCAAATTTTAGCTATGTTTTTTCATTGTAACTACATTGTCTTCATTGAAAAAATAAATAGAGATAGTTCCATAGATAATGATTTTAGATCAAATACATCCACATGTCCGCAGATCGCCGGAGTATCATTGGCGCCGCAGTACAACACTACGAGTAGTCCGATTGGTCTACCAATCGGACTACTCATATTCAAAGTATCCATAACTCAAATTCTATTGACACCAACATAACTGAGTCCAATTTTCTCCACCATGCACTTGGAACTTTCCTGAATATATCATCTAATTATTGCCCAACTTACCTGCTCAGATCAGGCAGATGAACATGTCTTTAGATCTTATAGATGAAGGTCGTGTTTGGATTCAATCCAATAACGGAGAACTGTCCCTGAAAGATGCCTATGCCTCCGAATCAACACCTTTGCCTTCTTAAAACTGGTCCAAAAACCTATGGAATTCAGACATACATCCTTCTGAAGGCTTCATAGTTTGGATTAAGAGCTTCATGAATTAATTCAATGTCAATCAAGAGCTTTTGATAAATTAATTATAAAAGAATCACAAATTTCTATTAAAAATCATAATGTTGATAGAGTTGATGCCGAAATTCTTGAATGTTTGGTTACTACTGAAAATATTTTTAATGTTATTGATGTTATTTATAGGTTAAATAGCGATTTATTTTATTTAAATTGTATAGTAATGGTTCATTTTCAATATTAGAACAGGTTCTCTAAATTATTTGACACGGTGTTTGTGATCAATTTATTTTTAATTATTGAAGAACAATTCTTCACTAGAAGAGGAAATCAATAAGCCTCCAACTTACGATAATTCATAAGAATGCATCATAAGAAAATTTGTATTTTTATTCAATACATTTACTTTAATTATTCACAATATTCTTTCGTATTTAAGATTAAAATATATATATATTTTAAAATAATATTATTTTTTGAATAACATAAACAATAATATATATATATATATATATATATATATATATATATATATATATATATATATATATATATATATATATATATATATATATTCGGTTCGAGAACAAGAAATTAGGTGTAAACTAATGATAAGAAATTCTAAATTAGTGGTGCCAATATCTGATACGATGGTCGATGGTGGACCTTCAAAGGTAACACTCCAACGCTTAAGTCAGATCAAGGTTCAAGATGAGTGTAGTGTAAAATAGAGATCATAAAAGTGTACCTCACATTTCGTGTGAGATGACTTTTATATATTGGGTCATGTGGAGTGGACTCAAACAAATTTGGGTCATGGCGATTTGGGCCTTTGACTGACCAAAAATAGTTTTCACGAAGGCATATCAGGCATATAAGAAATTGGGGAAGTCTTTAGCAATCGCGGTTGACTTCTATGGATGTACGCTTCAAACTAGTGGTGAGAATGTTAAGTCACTTAAAGAAGTATTGGGGGAACAAGCGCAATAAATACATTTTCATCGTTGAAACATTTTGCTACTTCTTTCTGACACATGGGTTGAAGTAACTAGTTAGAAAAAATGTTGCATATAGTGCACTCGAGTTTGTTTATGTTTCCAAGGAGAAATACAATTATTGATTTTGTAACTCCCCTCTACTGTTGATCTGGTTGCTTACTCGTCTTTGTGTGTGTGTGTATGTGTGTGTGTGTGTGTATATATATATATATATATATATATATATATATATATATATATATATATATATATATATATATATATATATAACCAACACATCGAATAAATTGGGCCATAGTAATTTGGGTCTTTGACCGACCCATAATAGTTTTCTCGAAGGCATATCGGGCACTTAAGAAATCGGGGAAGTCTTTAGCAATCGCGTCGACTTCTAAGGATGTTGTACGCTTCAAACTAGTAGTGGAAACATTTTGAGTCTTTTGAAGAAGTACTGGGGGAACAAGCGCAATAAATGTATTTTCAACATTGAACATTTTGGTACTTCTTTCTGAAACATGGGTTGAAGTAACTAGTTAGAAAAAAATATTGCTTATAATGCACTCGAGTTTGTTTATTCTTCCAAGGAGAAATACATTTGTTGATTTTGTAACTCCCCTCTGCTGCTGATATGGCCGTTTACTCGTCTTTTTGTGTGTGTGTGTGTGTATATATATATATATATATATATATATATATATATATATATATATATATATATATATATATATATATATATATATATATATATATATATATATATATATATATATATATATATATATATATAAAACCAACTTTTGAGGATTGCGAAAAGTTTTTCCCATGTTCAATAAGCTATATATGTGAAATAACCGGTCCGAACAATCATCGAGAGAAAAATCAACAAAGTCGCTATAGAATGTTTTTTATCCCACATGAACGGAAAGATAAACATTGAGTAAACCTGAGAAGGATGAAATCGTGGTCTCACGACTGAGATATTCGGGTAAGGGAGTCGATTACGTGAGGGGAATGTATTAGCACCCCTCACGTCCGTGGTACTCCACGGGATCCACTCTTGTTGTTCTAAATAAATGGTGTGAGCTAAGGAAAAATACAAAGAGGGAATGCATGAAAAATAAAACACATGGAAAAGAAGGAATATTTATATATTTTACTCGCCCGGACCCCACGATCAAATTCCTATGTATCCCTTTAAAGAATTAGAGCACCGTAGTCTGGCTCAAAAGTTTTGGTTGATTGCATGTTTTTTTATGAATGATGCTATCGAAGCATGTCCTTTTTGAAAAGATTTTAAAAGAAAAAAAGTCTTAAGACAAAAAATATTTGCATTGGTTGGTGTTTTTTTACCTTGAAAAAGGGTTTAAGAAATGTTAGAATGTCTTATGACTTTGCAAAAAAAAGAGGTTTTAGTCTTAATCATGCAAAAGGGAAAGAAAAAAATCTTAGGAAAACTATCTATATTCCTTAATGTTATCATACAATGATTGATCATATAGTTGAGTTTTGAAAGGGAAACACTACCTATGTTAGCATGTATGGTTTGAAACCCTAATGTGTAACTTGCATCGGAAATGAAACAAGCTTATCATAAGGGAACATATAAAGGTGTAATAAAAGCACAAGCACAAGTACAATCGAATAAAGTCGAACCAAAACAAAACAAAATCGAGTGCGAGCTAGCAACAAACAAATGAGTCCAATGTATCTCAAAGTGGGAGTAAGGAACTCTTTTCACTTGATTTTCTCGAGCATCAACATCAAGTAACAACTTAGAGAGGCAGCGTTTAAAGAAACATGAGCTAACATCTTCGAAACGAATGATAAAGCTTGGGTGTAATACAGTGGGAGAACTAACTTTTTTTTTGTTTTATCCAAATGTGCGGATAGCAAGAGTCGCCACTGACTTTTCTTTTATCCAATATTTAGGAAAGATTAAAAGAACATGAAATACCTTTGATAGATTTTGAGTTCGGGGGGGGGGGGGGGGGGGGGTAGGTTATGAAAAAGCAAGGTGTTAACACCCTTTCCATCCGTAGTTATCTATGGGCTCTTAATTTCTTAGCTCACTTTTGAAAACTTGTTTTGTGTGTGTGATTTGTTTAAAATAATCCAACATCTACGCATCGGAATTCTTCAATAACATCTTTAACAACTCAAAACAGCAACTACGAAACATCTCATATTCAATAATCATCAATTTAAAGTTCAACAACTGAAAAATAACAATCTAATATCAGAAAGCGTTCATCCCCCCGAGTTTTACATATCAGAGCAATGACATCGACTCGAACTACTGAAGGTATACAACCTTCACTCTCAATTACCTGCACGTTACCAACATAAGGGCAACATTCAAACAGAAGGGGTGAGATATCTAACAATATAATAAAGTGCATGATAATTAATATATTAAATTAGATCAACAACATCACCCCTTCTCATCTCATATCAACAACAATCTCAACAATAGTATACATCCATCAACATCAACATACACTTCTCTATGAAATCATATAATGCGACTAATTACTATGCAAATGCATGTGGTACCATTGGAGCAGAACTCCCATCTCAAAAATCTGCCAATTACTAGAGGCATCAACAAGGCATAGCCTTCATCTCAAAATTTGCCAATCCAGGCCATCTCAACGAGCATAAGCTCCATCTCAAAAATGCAATTTATGCGACACAACATGAATGTAATATCAACACCCAAATTAACAACATCTCAAATCATCTCAAAACATCTCAATTAACATCTCAAAATAACAACATCTCAATCATCTCAAAACATTTCAATTACAGCATCTTATAAACATCTCAAATTAATTTATTAAACATCATTTATTTATCAAACGTCATTTATTCATCATAATTATCAAACACAAATTTAATAACAACATCTCACTAATAACTCAGCTGTATATTACTATTACAGTAATCCATACTGTTAATCTGAAATTTTACATCGTTACTGTCACTAATCCTACAGTCATAATTCTAACAGCAGCCTCTAAACATATCACATTCATCATTCTGTCCAAAATCCAGCACAACGACCAACACGGGAAGTAATTCTAAATCTTAAATTGGTTACTAGGATTACACTTCTTAATCATCGTTTTAATCATCTAAAATAAAGTTCATCGCGTTAGTTAATCAACGCTTCGAACGACATCTCAAACAACATCCTAAAACTCAAGTTCTAACACTTTGAAACTGAATCTGTAAAAAAATCAGTCATCATGGGTCGACGCATAACCCTTTGGATTGACGCGTACTGCTTCACCTGTACAACATGAGTCGACACATCCTCCTTATGGATCGACTCATCTTGGTCTCAAACACAACATGTATCGACACATGCATCTCACCGATCGACTCATCCTGAGTCTTGCAACTATCATGTATCGATGCAAGCCCTTTTTGTATCGACTCATCCTGAGTCTAACATTGCCTATGCATCGA